TTACCGAGAGTTAAACAAATAAAAACACCTTCAAAATACTGTTGTAACATTCTTCAGACATTTTCTGGGTTTGGAGGGGCGGAGTTTGCATTAAATTTGACCGACTGGAGGACAGTAAAGTTGTTCCGTGACAATACTTGACTATTCTTGAGTTTTAGAGAAAAACAACATTTCAAGACATTTCCCCCCTCGATTCAAAACCACGTGGGGACGCTGCCGTCTTCCCTCTGCTCTTCGCAGCCTACCTCTGGACGGGGAGCGTGACATGGCTCTCCCAGCGGAGAGGTGCCGAGTGCGGGCTCGGTGGGCGGTGGTTCGGAACAGAAAGGGCAGCAAGCTTCTGAGTGCCTCTGACATCAGCGAGGCTTTGTCGGGTCATCGGGATGACCGGTCCCCTACCTAGCACCCGGGTCCTGAGCAAGAGCTCTGAGCTTCCTGCCCCTGGCTGGGCGTGGAGAGGTCAGTGCCAGGGGATCCGACTTGGCTCCTGTCCTTAGTGACAGTGCTGTCCGGAAGAAAATGACCCTGACCGCATAGCACACGCATCACAGTAAAAGGCTGTAGAATTCCTGGGGGGCAGCACTTGAGAATGAGGCAGGAAGGATGCACCGAGCAGACAGTGGTGAGCGGTGAGGGTTGCTGCTCGGTGAGCACAACCACGGGGCTCTGACGTTTGTGCACAGCGTGAGCCTGTGGTCCTCACCCAAGAGTGATTTTGCTGTCTCCCCTCACCCAGCTAACGTGTGGAAACGTTTGTGTCTCCCACAACGGGGACGAGGCCTGTTGGCATGCAGTGGGCAGGGCTCCGGATGCTGTCCAACACCCTGCAGTGCTGCACAGGACATGATCTGGCCCCAAATGTCGACACTGCCAAGACTTAGAGGGGGAGGGACGGGGGGGGGGGACCACTGAGTCAGCTACGGCCAAGGTCAAGGCGAGAAAGAGGAACCACAAAGCAAGATGTTCCCCTGTGCTCACAATCAGAGAAATGCCAGTGCAAACCCAGCAAAGTGGTATTTTTCATCTGGAAATGTGCAGAGATTTGCAAACTGATACCTCCTCTTGGCCGAGCACAGTTAGAAAGGCGTCTTCACCTGGGTTTCTCCAGGAGTCGAATTTGACACTGTGCGTCAAGAATCTTTAAAAAAGCAAGTACTCTCTGATCTAAGCATTCCAGTTCAAGGATTTTTGTTCAAAAAAGAAATAAACCAGCATACAGAAAGGCCTTACTTGCCAAGTCTTCACATTATGATCATTCCGAAAAGTGAAAAATGAGTAACAACTTTAAAGACCAACAATGAAGAAATAGTCAAGCTTTGATATATCCATAAAGCACATCATTTTATAGTCAATAAAAGTTATCTCTGTAAAGTACTATTAATATCAGGAAATATTCATGACATGATGCCAAGTGGCAGAGACCCAGAAGGAAATTACATATGTAGCTGGATCTCAACTATTTGAAAGGAAGAAACCGGCAAGCGTAGGGAGAGAAGGGAAGAAAATGTACTCACAGATTGACCATGGCTGTTTCGGGGAACTGAGTTTTTATTCTGCTTTTTATTGTTCTCAGATGCCTCGCGTGTGTTAATTTGATAGGAAAACAGATCGACGTGGGCACAGACGTTTAGTGAAGACAATCAAGGCTCAAATGAGGACAGCGGTTGCGGATATGAGAGGAAAAGAATGGTCCTGAGAGACCTTCCACTTGGCCAGTGACTTGAGGTGGCCACGAGGGAGAGGGAATCAAGGGTTTAACGATGACTCTAATGTCTGAGCGTGGGGTCCCGGAGGTGAGGGGACCGTTACCAAGAGCAGGGGCAATATAAGCAGAGAGGAGACCCCAGGGGCCTGCGAATGGGCCATCGGGAGGTCCTGGGGACACAGCCAGACGCAGGAGCGCGAGGTCCGACCACCTGGAAAACGAAGGGAAATAACTACCTGTCCCGTGGAGTGCGAGGGAGGAGGAAATGGATTCGAACCTGTGCAGCACCGGGAGGAATGGTCCAGGGCACCGAGCAAGGCCTCCGAGGTAGACCCGGCAGCCGGGCACGGGGATCTGAGCACCGAGCTGAAGTGTGGCTGCCCCGCCCCCTTCCCCCCTCTGGTACCTGATGGCCACACGGACTTGGGCAAATCACTGAATCTTCCGGCCTCATTTGTCTTAACTACGAAGCAGGAATAATGATACTCTCTATAGGTTGGTTTGAATGTTTGAGGTAATGGATACAATGTATCCAGTATAGGCCAGGCTTTGGCATCTGGGATCTCCACAGAATATGTTATGGTTATTGACAGTAGGATGATGAGGATGACGACAATGACTAGTGGCAATAACGACGACGAATTCTTCCTTACAGTAGGAGCAGATTCTCCAATGCCCGTCCAGCAGGTGCTAGCATGATGCTTACTAACGGCAGAGGTATAAGGAATAAACATACAGGCATTGAGGAGATGAGCAAAGAGGGAACCAATTCCCCAGCCCCCAGCCCCCAAAAGGAGAAGCGGTCCCCCATGTTCGCCAGAACGCTCATCCCAGCAGACGCAGCCTGTCCATACCGCACAGGTTTGTAAGTCTCCCTTCCCCCCTAATCTTGGTAACCGTTCTGGGTGCGTGTCCGGGAGGCGCATCAGGAATACAACGTGCAGGGCATTCTGTCTGGTACTTAGGACTAGAACTAAACGGCCTCGCCCCCTTTGGGAAGCCGCCGGGGCTGCTCCCACCTGGCGGCAGGCGGGCTGGTCAGGGCGCCGCTCCTGCGGGAGACCTTCGGAGAGAAAGAACCGTGTCCGCTGACTGTGGCGTGTGGAGACGGCTAAGAGCACGTGTCGCCACAGGAGGCTGTCCACACTGCCCCCGCCAGGTCCCAGTTTCTGCCGGCAACGTGCCACCAGCTCCTTGGAGTTTTAAGGAGAAAGCCCTTGCGTTGAGGCCACAAAGCTTTGTGAAGACTGAAGGTCGCAGGCTCACCCTCGGTGTCATGGGGACTGCGTGGGGACTGCATGGGGACACCACGGGGACAGCCCGCCGCAGCACATTTCAGGCAGGAATTCGACAGCACCCACGAGAAGTGCGGTTTCTACCTGGGAAGGACTACACTCCGTTCAAAGGAGAGAGCCTGGCAGGACAGGAATGTGTGTGTACACTCATTTGTACACGCACATTTGTACACACAGGGTGGGCAACAGTAGGTTTACAGTTGTGAGCATGTGAAACAGAGTTTATTCTTGCGTTACTATTAGGCAACTATTATATTACTTTCCACAGGAACGATCGTAAACCTACTTTTGCCCGCGCTGTATTTGAGGCGTGTGCCCCACACAGCGAGCCCAAGGTCCTGTGGCCTTGAACTTTACGACTAAGGGGCCCCAAGTCACACCCTCTTTGTCTCACAAGTTTCACTTCGGGCAAATAGAGCAGAAACGTTCAAGCCTGAGGGGCCCTTGGCGAACACCAAATCCAGCCCGGCCAGTTCCGTAGGCGAGGAGAGTCTGGGGTTTGCGGGGTGCCCCCCCCCCCCCGCCGTGCGCTGGAAAATAGCAGATGAGGGAGGTCTCTTTGCCCCAGTGGCTGACCGAGGCCCCAGGGCGCAGAGCCACTGCAGGGACCCCGGGACAGAGAGCCCTTCTGGGAAGTCAGCCCGAGGGACATACAAGGAAATCGTCACAACCGAAGTCTCTGCGCCAAAGCCAGGAACACGGGGTTCCCTCCGCGCTCTTCCCCGTGGGGATGGATGCTGGGACCTGGCTCGTGGTCGTTAACGCTCCTTTGGTGAAAGTGCCGTAAATCCAGATCATCCTTTCTGCGTGAGATGTAAGGGGAGGCTGCGCCACACCACCCAGCCGGCGCTGCAGACGCGCAGGTGTTTCCAGAAGCTTCGTCCACAAGGAAGAGGAAGTGGTTGGCCTCAGCGATTTCTTGACACAGGAAGGGGAGGCCCCTGGGGCAGACGCAGGCTGCCGGTGTCCCCCCCGCGCTCCATCCACGCGGCTCAGGTTCTGACAGTCGGGTCGAGCGAGAGCTATGTCACGTGGTTTCCAAACTCTGAGCATTCGCACTTGTCAAGTTAGTGACACCCTCTAATGTCTCCACGCACGTTACAGCTTTGCCACGTTACAGTTTCAGTCATTTTTGCTAATTAACAAAGCGTTAATGGACAGAAATTGCACGGTCCAATCAGTACGCGCACACTACATGTTCAGTTTTATTGCTATTATCTCTAAATATTTTCCCCAAGTGGAAAGTCGCTAATTCTCACAGTCTCTTGCTGGAAATTGGAAGTTTGTGCAGGGAAAGAGCCCTGACCCCCTCCTCCCCCCCATCTGAGGGTGCCCAGCCGGCCTCAGGAACTCGGCCTGGCCCCGCAATGCAGAAACAGCAGCGTATCCTGGCCAAGCTGCCCCAGAAACCACAGCCAAGGTAAGAGAAAACTCCGCTTCGACTGTATGGCATGGGGAGGCCCCAAATTTGCTTCCTTTTGAAAATGTCCCGTAATCACCACACGCACACGCACACGCACACACACACAGACACACATTCATATTCTCTCTCTCTCTCTCTCTCTCTCTCTCTCTCTCTCTCAGAGCCAGCTACCTGACTGACTAGAAAGGGCAGCCTCTGGGCACCTCCAGATGTGCAGACATAGGGACCAGAGAGACAACACCTCTGGCAGTGGGCAGCACCTGGCCTTCTCTCCCTGTTCTGGGATGACCAGGCCAGCACATGGTCGGGAAGTCCTGTTAGGGACAAAGCTTGGAGAGCCGTCTCTCCAGTCCCCAGGAGTCTCATCTAAGGAAAGGCGCCCGGTGCAGACCGCCGCGCCCAGCTCCCCTTCGCCACCTTGGAGCGGAGCAGGTGAGGCGGCCCCACAGAGCTGCCTCTTGGAGTAGGTGACGGAGAAGAAACCCGCTGTCCACCTGGCTGGGCGCTCACGCAGAGCACCTGCCCGAGGGGAGGGGTCTGTGCTGGGCCCCACCCTGGGGCGGGGAGCGTCACTCACCTGCCCTGTAGCTCCAGCCAGGAATGTGAATGGACAGCTGGTTGGCTTGAACGCTGGTGTGACACGGGGCCGCGTGGTCTTCCTTCCCTTTCCTTGCGGTGACCTGCCGAGTCCCCACATGGGCGAAGTCTGTACTTTCCAACGGAGGGGGGCCGCCCCACGGACAAGAGTCAGGTGCCAAGTGCACCCGCCCCAGGGAGGGGTGCACGGCCGGGGTCCAGCGGCGGCCCAGGAGGCCAGAGCCTCCCTGCCCGAGCTGCTGCTTCAGGGCGCTGCTGATTGGCCCTCCGTTGGCTGTGCCGTCTGCCCCATCTGGTGTCAGCCTGTGTGAACTGCAATTTAGGTTGAGTGACAGGACGGATCTGTGCACTTTAGGGCCGGCCAGTTGCGTCTGCTCGATGGGGACTGAGAGGGACCTGTCTAGATAGTAGATGGCATTCGGACACTGCTGGGACACCCTGAGGTGGACGCAGGAGCTGAAGAGCAGCGGGCTCTTTCCCGACCGTGGGGCGACCGGAGAGAACCTGTCTGCTCCATGGTCCACGTTGGCGACCCAGTACTGGTGTCCGTCACATAGCTGTGCATGGGCCTCCGGGAACTTCAGTCTCATCACAGAGCTGTTTCTGGAGGATTCTGTGCGGGCAAAAGGTCCGTGGTGCCGACATGGACCAGCAGCGCTGGCCAGAGCAGAGGGGTCCCGCAGCAGGGGGTCCGGGGCCCTGCACTTAATGCACAGTGGCTCATCCACAGTTCCCCACACCAGGGTGCCGGCCGGGGGTCCCACACGCCTGGCTGTGATGGTGATCGACGCAAACCCCTTCTGGGGGGTGCTGCATGGCTTCTCCTCCTTGGGGGGCAGCTCCGTCTCAGGTCCTCGCACCCCAGCCAGCGTCTGAATCCCTAACTGGCCGGGGAGGAACTCGAAGGCCCTGTCAATGCTGACTCCGCTGCGAGTGGCCAGAGACTGCTTCACTGACCACGCGGGAGGCCGAGCGTCCGCGCACAGCGCCGGCAAGGTGGCCCCATTTTCTTTTGGCTTATTTTCATCGATCAGCTGAGAAATGACTATGGATGAAATCATTTTCGTGTTTTGTGATGCCAGAGGCTCCTGCAAATGAGAGAGATCACCATTACTCAAGCGGGCCCTGTAACCCGGGGAGCACACCCTCCTTCAAAGGCATCAGGACAACACGCCCAACACGCGCGCCTGAGGTCCCCTGTGCCACACCACCTCGGAGCAGTCAGCCCAGACCACGTGTGCACTGGTGACCAACCCTGGAAGCTCCTCTGCCTGGGGAATTGGTCTTCTCTGCCGAGTGTCTGTCTAGTCTTGGTTGATTTCAGGTATTTGTGGGGTGGGGAGCGGCAAATGTCTGGAGTCCCCTCCCCCAGGTCCAGGAGCACCTGGCACAGGCGCACGGCCTCAAGGGGGAGGGAAGACAAATTCCCTGAGGAGGCTGGTTGGGACTTAGGTTCCTGTGAAGGTGAGTCGGCATTTCCCATGAGCAGATGTGCGCAGGGGGGGCCCTCCTAGCCTCCATCCTCAGCCCCCCTTGATGGTTTAGACTGGAATCCAGTCCCTCCCCACGACTGCCGTCACAGGGTCAAATCTCAGAGAGCAAAACAAGGGTCATCAAACGCTCAAGCTTGACTACTGCCCAGAGGGACACAGTGGCCACGATCGTCAGTCCTCAGAACGGGGTGCCGGGGGGCTTGGACCCACACAGGTGAGTCATGCTGCATTTCAGTGCTCAGGGGCACGAGCAGGGCTTCTGTCCATCTGGTGACTGAGGTGGCCCAAGCTTCCGTCCCAGCAGATCATATGCTCTAACAGTCAGTGTCCAGTGCGTCCAAACGATGAGCTGTGGTTGTGAATACAGCGAGAACCAGGCTGAGACAGGAGGAAGGACCACTCCCGCCCTTGCTGCCAGCGCTGTGCGTGGGTCAAGCATTGCAGAAAACTGCACGGAGACCGACTGGACCCCAGCACTCATGACCACCCGCTGGGCCCTAGCCCCCATTTGGACGTCCGTTACTCTAGTCTTTAAAACAAGCCCTTGCATGGAGCCACACAGGGTCCAACTGACACGGTCAGCTACTCCGCCCCCCGCTGCCTGCCAGCGTCACTTGGGGAGCCTGAGGGTGTCATCGGCCTCAGCATCGAGCAGTGAGCCTCAGTCTCCCAAGTGCCTGAGAATCACGGGGCAGGTTCCCCGGGCTACAGAGATGATTCTGTAGGTCTGTGGGTGGGGCCCAGGCACCCGCCTTTTAACCCACATCCCTGAGATTCTGGCGGAGGTGCTCTAGGGGGCGCTCTGAGAAACGGAGCAGAGTCCCAGGCTGCGGGTGTTTCCAGCCGGTGTGTGAGGGCAGCAGACAGTCCTCTTGCCCCGAGACCTGATGAGAGCACAGTTTTCCTTTCTCCGGAGCAGGATCAATACTCATCTCCTCCGCTCTGCGATGTCCTTCTGTGGCCTGGCTCCGGATGGGAGGACCCCGTGGGCGGTCCTAGCACCCTGGTCTCCCTGGTCCTTAACGGTGCGACCCAGGAGACGGTCAGCTTGTCTTTCTTGGTGTTTTCTGTTGTCTTCTTGTTGTTCACAACAACTTCCATCACCTCACACGTGGTCGTGTTTTAGAGACAGGTGAGAAGTTTGCATATTCAAAGAATGAACAAGGGCACCAAAAACAAGAGGTGTGTTTCTAGGAAGGAGTCAACGTCATCGCAGCCTGGAAAACGGACAGAAAGGACCCTGACTCTGGTGACGTCAACCTGGCTCCACGCTTGGGAGCAGGTAGAGCCACGGCCTGGAGCCCACGGCCAGGAGCCCGGGGCTGCGTGCACTGCAGGGACACCTGGGACCTCGCTGGGGGTGTGGGTGTCACTGCAGAGACTGCTAGAAGGATGGGCACAGAACCAGCCGCCACTGGACCTGGCAAAGGACCGTGACTTCAGTCCCATCAGAGACAAGATGAGGAAAGAGCAATAACAATGGGTGTGAATTTGAGCTTATTTCTTTTTCTTTTCTTTTGTTAGTTCTCACCCTAGCATGTTTTCTCTACTGATATGTAGGGAGAGTGGGAAGAAGAGGTAGGGGCGAGACAGACGAAGAGAAACATCAATATGAGAGAGAGAGACATTACTTGGTTGTCCCCCCGAACATGCCCAGATTAAAGCCAGGGATCTAACCTACAACCCAGGTCCATGACCTTGACCGGAAATCTGACCCGAGACCCTCCGGTGCGAGGGTTGACGCCCTGTCCACTGGGCCACGAAGACAGGGCTTAAGCTGAAGCTGCAGAATTGCAGAGCGTGTCAGGGTGACGATGTTCCTGTGGGGTAAATGCTGACGGAAGCCCAGGTGCAGAGAAAAATCTATTTGCCTTTTCTAGTTCACAGGGAAGTTGTGGGGGAGAGAAAAAATGATGATGGGTGTGAAACAGCCTCTCAGAGTATGAACATGTAATGGGGCTCCAGGGCCCGATGTTCCCTGAGAGTCAGCAGAATTCAGTGGGCACCTGATGCAGGCAAGTCCAGGCAGGAGTGAAGGAGACTGTGTCCAAGTCATACCATCTGTCAATGGAGTTGATGACGAATGCATTTGGGTTGATTTAAATTGTTTCAGTGGAAACAACCCATTACACACCCAGTGCACTGACATTCTGTTGACATGGATACAGAATGAATGTAACCTGTTTAGACATAAATTCCATTATTCATGACACAGACTCATGGTCGAACCATTTCTTTATTCACGCGTCAGACAAATACTCACTGAGCACCTACTACGTGCCAGGAAGCATCCCAGCCTCGAGTTAGCAGACTGGAGACAACATCAACAAGAAACCAAGTTACCGGGACAGACTGTGAGGTTAAATCTTCCTGTGATTAGACTCAGTGTTGACAAAAGCCCCAACCCATACACTGAGAGAAATTAGGAAGGAAACACTCGCCCTGGCCGGTTTGGCTCAGCCGTTAGAGTGTCGGCCTGCGGTCCAGAGAGACCCAGGTTTGGTTCCCGCTAAGGGCATGTACCTCGGTTGCGGTTTGTCCCTGACCTTGGTTGGGTCGTGTGGGTGACAGCCACTTGATGTGTCCCTTTCTCTCTCTCTCTCCCTCCTACTCTATCTGAACAAAAAAAAAAAAAAAAGGAAAAATGTCCTCAGGTGAGGATTAAAGAAAAAAATAATAATAAAGAAAATACTCCTCCACGTGCTTTGACACACAGCCTACCCTTGTCTGCGAAGTTCTGTTGATCAGATCCTGTGTTCTCACTGAGACCCAGTAAGTAGTGAAAGGTAAGGTCCGACTTCTCCTAAAGCAGGATCAGCTGCCTAGGGCCGCCATAGCCAGGGACCCGAGGCTGGGTACCTCAAGCAACAGAAACGGATTTCTCAGTCTGGAGGCTGAAGTCGAAGAACAAGGTGTCGGCTCTTCTGTTCCTTCTGAGTCTTCTTCTGTTGGCTGGTAGACGGCCATCTTCCCCCTCTGTCCTCACAAACTCTTCCTCCGTGCATGTCTGTGTCCTGCTCTCTTCTCATAAGGACATCAGTCACACTGGATCAGGGCCTGAACTCATGACCTCATTTACCCATTTTTATTTTTTAATCCTCACCCAAAGACACCTTTCCATTTATCTTCAGATAGAGTAGGAGAGAGGGAGAGAGAGAGAGAGACATTAATGTGAAAGAGGCACATCAACTGGCTGCCTCCCGCACAACCCCGACCAGGGCCGGGGATGAACCGCAACCGAGGTATATGCCCTTGACCGGAATCGAACCTGTGACTCACCGGTCTATAGGCAAGGCTGTAACCTCTGAGCCAAACCAGCCAGGGCTCATCTACCCTTAATTACCTCTTTAAAGGCCCCATCTCCAAATACAGTCACATTCTGAGGTCCTGGGGTTAGGATTTCAACATATGAATTGGGGGGGGACACTGTGTACTTTAACTGGTAGCAGACTATAATTCACCACTTTGTGTCCAGTTCTTTTTCTGGGGCCGGGAAACCAAGAAAGGGATGTGCCGGCAGGGATGTTTGATGTTCCCAAGTCGGGCTCCTATTTTTAAACAGGGCAAATTCTCCTCAAAAAGCAATCACAGCCTTTACATCAAATATCTTCCCCAATTAAGTGATCTCAGCGCGTCACCCCATCTGTCCTTCACGCTGGGTCACCTGAATGTGGCTTTGAAAAAAGTATCTTTTATGTGAAAGAAAATGAAGGGATGTGAGATTTAGCTTGGAAAGAAGAAAATAATCTTGTGTTGAAAGTAGATGCTCAAGGTCAGAGGGAGGTGAGATGCAGCGTGGGACCCAGCGTCTGGCCTCGCTGGTCAGCCCCCCGGTGCCGGGCCAGCACCGCACAGGTGCGCGTGTCCGTGTCCTTCCTCGTAAATGCTGCTCGACGACACTGATTCCTTTTCCGTGTCTCCAACGTGACTGCACAGCAGGCAACGGCTTTCATAGCCGAATATACTTTATGGACGGTTTCTAACCTTATATTTGTGCCTTCAGGAATGTTACTCAGAAGGGCACCATGTCAGAAGCTGAAGTGTGAAACAGACAACAGTGGCTGGTCAGAGCCAGCAGGTCCTAAACCCCCCGAGTGAGAGTCCCCACCTCCGTGGCAATTCGTTTCCCCAAGGATATGCATCTGATCTCATCTACAGCGTTGACTTCCATATTTTTCTCCACGAGACAATTCTTTCCTTTTCCACAGCTGCTCTGCAACCTACAGCTCAGTTAGCAGAGGGAGCCTTCGGCCCCCGTCCCCACGATGCCCTGCAGCCACCTCACACTGGGGGCACGCCTGCCGGCACCGTCCCGCCGCGGGTCCTCCCTCAGCTCGCTGGCACCTCATCCTCCTGGAGGAGCGTCTTCCGACGTCCGCGCTCACTCCGGTCCGGAGCAGTAGGAGAAGGGAAGACCGGGGTCCCTTGGAGCATGTCCCCTGTCCGTGCAGACACCGCCTTCCCACGCATTCACTAGACACCAGGGGACTCCTGCGGTGTACGTGTGACCGCGACAAGCTGGCAACACGGGACGTGTGTTTTTGAAAGGAGGTTGGGCAGGTAGACCACGGCCTGCAGGGAGGCATCGCCACATTCTGCAGGAATTACCAAAAAAAAAAAGAAGTTTAAGTGACGGGGATGTGCCTGTGACCGAGGGAAGTGTACAGACAGCTGTAATGGTTGTGGATCTTACAGTCACGTGTAAGAAAATGTACATCGAAGCCAAGATAAATAGATACAGATGTTTCCTTATTTATATATTTCTGCATTTTCCCAAGTGTTTACATGGAGTTGCCATTACTTTATAATCCTCACCTGAGGATATTTTTCCATTTATCTTCAGACAGAGTGGGAGGGGGAGACAGAGGGAGGGGGAGAGAGAGAGAGAGAGAGAGAGAAGGAGGGAGAAACATCAATGCGAGACACACGGATGGGTCAGGGCCATGCCTTGATCAGAATCGAACCCAAGACTCTTCGGTCCGCAGGCTGACGCTCGAAGCGCTGACCGCTGAGCCAAACCAGCCAGGGCAGAGTTGCCATTGCTTCAGTTATACGGGAAGTGTAAACATTATCTTTTTTTTTTTTTTTTAATCCTCATCCGAGGACATTTTTCCACTTTTTGTACAGAGTGGGAAGGAGAGAGAGGAGTAAGAGAGAGAGATGGAAACATCGATGTGAAAGGGACACATCGAGTGGCTGCCACCCGCACGACCAACCAGGGCCGGGGACAAACTGCAACCGAGGTACATGCCCTTAGCGGGAACCGAACCCGGGTCTCTCCAGACCGCAGGCGGACGCTCTAACCGCTGAGCCAAACCGGCCAGGGCGTAAACATTATCTTTTGAGAGAAGAAAACTCAGGTCCGTATTTCATCCTTTTCCATCACTGCTCGGCGAGGACGCGCCTGCGGTCGATTCTGCAGCTCCCACGAATTTCGAAGAGAAAGAGCCACCTCCTGCCAGCTCCAGAGGAGAGGTGGCCGCCGGCAGACACAGCGGGAGGGCACCTGCGGGGCACGGCCCCTCATCTGACAAACACAGGGCCGGGCTTCCACAGCTGGGTGAGGAGGAGATCCGTAAGTCACAGGCTGATCCGATCAAACTAGCGGCTGCAGGTGGTTCCGAAGCAGAGGTGGAGAAGGTGTGATCCGGGGGTCATTCAGCTGAGGCCCAGACAAACTGTGAGTGTGTGTGTGTGTGTGTGTGTGTGTGTGTGTGTGTGAGTAAGAGATCCAATCACATGGCCCCAAATCTGTACCATTAAGGACCACACTGATTACTGTTAGCATCAACAGGACCAGGCTGAAATGTGCCCGCTCAGGGTGAAAGGCAGGCAGGAGCGAGCTTCAGGTGGCATCTTTCTTAAAGAGAGCGGACAGCGACCTGGGCACCACCCGCCCCGGGCAGGTTCTCCACGACGCACTGTCTTCATGTCTGCCCCTGCAACCAGGGTCCCTGCTCCTGCCCTCTAGGACGAATTAACGACAGACACACCTTCACCTCTTCTTTGTTATCCTCACCCAAGGACATTTCCATTTTTTGTGCAGACAGAGCGGGAGAAAGAGAGAGAGAGAAACATCGATGTGAAAGGGACACATCGAGTGGCTGCCACCCGCACGACCCAACCAGGGCCGGGGACAAACTGCAACCGAGGTACGTGCCCTTAGCGGGAACCGAACCCGGGTCTCTCTGGACCGCAGGCTGACGCTCCCACCGCTGAGCCGAACCGGCCAGGGCTCCTTTACCTCTGCAGGCTGTGACCTCGGCACTCCCTCCTGGAGGGGCTTTAAACCCTGCCGACTGAATCGCAGGCCCGAATAGCATCCTTTTTCCATCGAGTGGGATTTCAGGCCCGGGGTCTGGGAGGGAAATGTCGGGTTTTATTCAACGCGGGGCCAGATCAAAGGATAATACCTCAGACAACCTTTCTGGGAGAACAATTCTGTTTTACACATACCTTGCTACTTTAATCTGCACGGAGAGCGTGACGCCTTATTCCACTCTCTCTCAAAATGACAAGGGTTGGCGGCAGGATGCCCGTTCAGGAAAGGGGACAGAGGCCTCATGCACCGTCAGCTCCCCGGCACGAGGCAAGTGCGTTTCCGAAGCCCTGTTCCGAAGGGGGTCTCCCGTACACCAGGCCTTTAGAGCAAGGTCAGGCGGACGGTCTGCGCCTGTCCGAGCTGAGGCTGGGGGCGGGGCAGCACTTCCGACAGAGCCTCCTGGTCTGCGAGCCTGGTGCAAGGAGCGTCCTCGCTCCAGGCTCGTGGGGGACGGCGTGAGCCAGGCACAGGGAGCCGGCCTGCGACGCGTGGTCGCTGTTCCCCACTGCGCACAGAGCCCTTTGCTCCCTGGAGTCGGGAACACGTCGTTTTAGGAACGTGACATTTCACTTTCTGCCCCCCGCCCCGATACTTTTTGTGAGCACAGCAGCCTCAAGCACCCTCTTCTCCACCTTCAGCGTGCTCTCTGGCACCCTTGTCTGCCTCCAGCACTGATTTGGTGTATTTTTTATTAATATATATATATTTTTTATTGTTGACTTTAGAGGGAGAGGAAGGGCGAAGGAGACAGAGATAGAAACATCAATGAGAGAGAAACATGGATCAGCCGCCTCCTGCACGCCCCGCACTGGGGATCGAGCCTGCAGCCTGGGCTTGGGCCCTGGCCGGGAATCGAACCAGCGACCTCTTGGTACACGGGACGATGCTCAACCACTGAGCCACAGCGGCCGGGCTGATTTCGATTTGAAACTGAGGTACAATCACTACACCCTCCAGCGACCCTGCAAGTGTACAAACCACGGCAAAGCTTAGGAAAGAAGTGTTGCAGCAACACGCCGCCCCTGGGAGGCAACCGGCCCCGTCAGTGTGGCCGACGCCCCGCTGCGTGAATCCGGGCCCTGGCCCAGTGGGATCACGTGCAAACACGGCCCAAGGAGGCGGGCGATCACGTTTCACACTTGGCTGCATTTTGCTGGCTAGTCGGGAAGTTAGAAACATATGTTACCTCAGTGAAGTCAGATTTCTTCTCTGTACCATCGGACTGGAGGTTTTTAAGGGCAATCGGATTGTTTGCACTGCACTGGTTGTCCCGTAATCCTAGGCGAAAGGAGATGATAGTGCTACTTTTTAGTATAGGACAAGATACATAAAGGGAGAACATAGCTTCACAGGAAGATTTAAAGTCACTACTCAGGTAAAACCTTGGATGTGTCCTCCCCCCGCCCCCACTCCGTTTAGGCTCTGAGTTCATTATTATTTAGTGAAGCAGCTACAAGTTCTCTCCTCTGCTTGGCTGTTTCTGTCCCGAGACTTGGTAATCACTGGACGGGTTCAACCTTCTCCCATTCACCCGTTTACACCCAGCAGAGGAGAGAATCACACCGATGGATTTCCCAACCTCACTCGGGGTACGCAAGACTGAAACCCTAGACCCGCTTTCATCCAGCCCCTTATCTAAACCATTGTCGGAGGGGCCATGAGCGGCTCGGACACAAATGCTGACGCCCCCCGGGAAAACCTGGGGACAGTTTTGTGATAATACTGTGAAGACCAATGAGACGCCGCGGACAGCCCTCCACATAACACCTGCCCAGCGAGAGCCGAGCATGCACAGGATCAGGTCCAAGTGCACGGGAGTGGACCAAGAACTAGAGGACCTGGGTTCTAGTCCTGGCTCACCACCAGCTGGCTTGGAAACAAGGGACAAGTCTAAAGAACCATCTAGAGAAGCCATTCATCTCCCACCTGCCCTGCCAGCCCACGGAGCCCGGGACAGAAGGAAAACATGCTCTTCCGTGCGACCGGCTAGTGCCCTGACCTCTACCTGGGTGTCCTGCTGCTGATGCAGGAATATGAATGAGACACGGAGGTAGACCAAAGATAACTGTAGCTCAGTCTCCCGCCCAGTGTAACAGTGTTGCCTCCACAATGCAGATATTCTGGGGGAAATGGTGTTTCAAAAGCCTACACAGACCGGTTTCCCAACTGCTGGTGCTGGTGATGAGAGAGAAGGAATTTAAGAAAGTGATTCTCTAAGTCAACTCCATCAACTCATCACAAGGGGTTTTTCTGTTTTGTTTTAATCCTCACCCGAGGATATGCTTTTCGTTTGATTCTGGAGAGAGCAGAAGGGAGAGGGAGAGAGAGAGGCATTGAGGCGAAAGAGAAACATTGATTGGTTGCCTCCCGCACAGCCTCTGACCAGGGATTGAACCCGAAACCTGGGCATGTGCCCTGATCGGGAATTGAACCCACAACTCTTCAGTGCATGGGATGATGCTCCAAAACCGAGCCACACCAGCCAGGGAAAAGGGTTTGTTTTTGTTTTTCTTTAGGACATAATTTAAAGCATTTTGTGGGGGAAATGATACACTATAGTATTTTCAAGTTTGGCAGATTTGCAAAGGGGGACACGGCTTGAGGGAAAGTCAAGGGCCTCCGTCGACCCATCCAAAGCCCGTCGACATCTCTTCTTGTCCGCGGGAGATGAGGGCGCCCCCTCAGCTCTACCCAGACACGTGTCTGTGCCTCCACCGACACTGACGGAGGGACAGACATTCATTCCAGGTGGTGCCCACCGGTGCTTTCCCGACGACACAGGCGAGACCCGGAGGCCCAGGGCTTCGTGCAGAACGACACAGGGTGATGGCCGCCGCTGCAGCTGGGGCGGTGGAGGGCGCCCGGCCCCGGGTCAGCACGGGCTCTGGGCCCGCCGGGTCCGTGTCCCTGCGCAGCCCGCGCTCCCCGCTCACACCACCGGGTGCCCAGCCTCCCATCGGAGTACTGAGGGCACACATGGAAAGAACTCGGGCTGGGTGGGGTCACGCTTGATAAATGGCACCGGCTGTAACTGTTGATGAACGGGACCAAGGCAGCCGCTGTCCCCAACCCTGACTGAAGCCTAGGTGGTCACTGTCGCCACGGCATTGCTGGTCACTGGAACCACATGTGTCTTTGGGCGAGTTACTCCGCATCCCTTGGTTTCTCGCTGTGGGATGGAGGCAGAAACAGTGCCCACTTCCTCGAGTCCTTGAAAAAGATTAAGTGACCGAACTAGACCTCGGCACAGTGCCCAGCACACAGTGACACGCGGTCAAGATCCGCTCCGGGAAGGACCACCCTCTCTGGCTGGGAGGAGGGAGACTGCTGTGACCGACAGGTGGGGCTGTGCCTGTGTCCGACAGCCCCATAACAAGCGCCCGCTCACTCAGGGGTTTACACAACACAGAAGCATACCGTATAGTTCTGGAGGTCTGCAGCCCAACAGGGGTCCCCCTGGGCTAACGTCAAGGTGAGAATCCATTTCCCTGCCTTTTCCAATGGCTACGGGCACCTCGTTCCTTGCTGGTGGCCCCACAACACCCCAACCTCTGCTGACATCATCGCACCCCCTTTTCTCTCCCTCTGATCAAGGCCCTGTGATCACTGGGCCCCCCAGGTAACAGGGCCATCTCCCCATCTCAAGGTTCTGAACACATCGGCAAAGTCCCTTCTGCCATGGAAGGCGCATGTCCACGGGTCCTGGGCATGAGGACAGGGCCTCTACCGGGACCATCACTGCACCTGTCGCAGGCCAGCCGGGGAGGCAGGAGGAGACACTGGGTGACGTGTATGGCCTTTAAAATGATGGGGAGACGGTTCATGCAGCAACACGAGAGAGAACTAACAATGCAGCACTTAGCGAAGGAAAGGAATCAAGAACATAGGGACCATAACTGCAACATTAAAGCATTTACCCGTGCGAGGGAATTCACAAAACCGGTCAAGACGTGACTAGAGTCGGAAACCTAGCTTTTAGTGAAATTGAGGGATGACGAAAGCCACCCATGAGGGTGCCCGGGATATTCATGTCCCCCACAGACACCAGGAGATGAACCCCAGCGTGGTTAGGAACACTTTGTGGAAAGAAAGACCCTGATTCAAGTCCGTGTCTGCCCCTAACCATTTGGGCAAGTGACTAAATCAGGCCTTATTTTCCCTACGAGCCAACGTAACACCTGTCTCCTCGGGGGTTGAGGAACGAGATGACGAATGTCCAGAATTGAGCACAGTGCCTGACGTATGGTGAGGACATATCCCCTGCCCCTTCCCCCTGACCACACAGCTGTCCCCACGGCAGAGGCCCCACCATCGGGGACACCCCAACTGGCATCACCTAGCAGGAGACACCTGGTGGGGACTGGGGCAGGTTAGCAAGGACAAGACGAGCAGCAGGCGTTCCCCAGCAGCGGGATGGATCAGTTTCAGGTGGTGCGGGGCGGGGTGGGTGTCCGTGTCTCCAGTACAGAAACCGGGCAGGCCGCACCTGGCCGTGGTTTCCAGCAGAGATCTTAGTCAGAGGACAGGGGCGGCCCGGCAGGGGGAGCTGGTCTGTTTCAGAGCTTTTCCAGGGCCCTCACTGCTGCCCACTGCCTCAGCTCCCCGACCTCTGCCCCAGGACCACCAGCACCTGCCCGACCTGGCAAATCCAGAGGGGCCTCCGACCCCCTTTGCACTGGGTTACTCCCCTCTGCATCAGAAGCAGTGTTGCCTGCAGAGGAAGCAGCCGGAGGACAGGCAGGCCCTGCGCACCCTGCGGGACACATGCTGGACGGAGCTCGGTGGCAGCTCCGGCAGCCCAGGTCCGAATTCGTGTGCTGTGGGGCTCTGCACGGGTGTGCTCACGACCTCAGTTTCCCCCTCTGCGAAGTCAGAACCAGGCCGGGCTGTGCTCTCCCTGCTCCCCGAGGGGCGGGGGCATCCCGCAGCCTGGGCGGATCTGGCCCTGCGCCAGGCTCTTCTGCCGCCCAGATCGCCTCCCTGGAGGAACGTGTCCTGAGTGGGATTCACACAGCGCTCAGGGGGTTGGAGGCCCTGGGCTGAGAGGCAAAGGCGGTGAGATGCTCCCCCGCCCACGACGCTGGAGGAGGTCACAGCTTTGTTACCTTTGGCCTCGATGAGCCACAGAGAGCCTGCAGCAGAGGGACCCCGACAGGTTTGGGAAGGGCCTGAACAGCCTTGCAGGACGGGGTGGGTTTAGACATGGGGAGGGAGTGTGTGCAGCCCACGTGGAGGGCAAAGGGAAGGTGGCGACGGATTCAGGTAAGCGGAGAAGCGGAGAAGCCCAGAGAACAGCAGAGCCCCTGTGCACAGAGAGGGTGCGGGCGCAGAACCCCGCACAGGTCCCCTCGGCACTCGACCCTTGCGAGCTGTCTATAAGGACCGCCCACGAGCTCCGTCCTGCGTCGCCTAATGAACCAACCCGTTAGCGCCAAGGGCAGAGGACGGATGCTCAGCCTCTGGTGAGTTTACAAGCTCACTCGCTCTGCTGTGTCATTCATGTCGGGGGCAGAGGAGGTACCCACGACCCCACTTAGGCCGCCGGTGTCTTCCCTGCTTCCCAGTCTTAGGGGAGTCCAGCCTTACCCTGAGCTTTCAAGTCACCTTTGACGTGCCCCTTACAGCAGCCGGTTCCCAGAGAGAATCACTGTCCAGAGTTAAGTGAAGTGAAGCATCTCCGAGAGAGGAGACTGCTGGCTACCCAAGGTCTCCGGAGTCTTCCCCTCTGTGGCTCCGGGACAACGTGGTGTCTCTCCTGTCTCCCCCCTCCTGCAGCTGGGTTTGCTTTCTTTTGTGGGTTCTCTTCTTGAGCCCCAGTTCACCCTCTGGGCCCTCTTAGCAAATCTCAGCTCCACCGTGGCCCCTGCGCCCCTTAGAAACAGGGTTGAGGAAGGACCCAGCTCACCTGCCAACACCGGCCCTTAGGACCGGCTGCTTCCAAGTCCCTCAAACTCTTTTTTCCGAAAGAGAAACAACCAGCTCCCTGTAAGCCGCTGCCGCCTCCTCTTCCTCTCCCCCCAAACCCACATTATCTTGGTGCGTGGCCACCACCCTCCCATCACCCACAGCAGAAAGGAGGCAACCCCCCCGCACCCCTTCCTTCCCTCACCTGCGCTGTGCAGCTGAGAGCCGAGGCCTGCGCCGCCCCAACACTTTGCCTGCCCTTTGCTGCCTGGTCCCAGCAAGGTCACAATCAACCTGGTGACCCCACCAGCCTCGTCTCCAGTCAGGTGCCCCAGGCCCCTTGACATTACTAGTTTGTGACCTGGTGGGGGCCT